CTGAGGATCAAGGATGGGCGATAAAAATACTCCTGCTTGTGCAACTCGAGGAAGGCGATGCAGCGTTTGCACTGAGAATTCAAAGCTCCACTCAGGAGCCCTGAGGTTGGGTGTCGACCACAGCCATGACTTCACCTCTTAGGGGAAGCAGAGAAGAATGGAACTGAAAGAGAAATTTGTCCAAACCAGATTTGCTGTGGGGCCCCTGGCTGCCCTTTCCGAAGTGTACTGAGAAAGGCCTGGCAAGGTCCTTCACAGGACAGCAGGGACCAGGAGGACGCTGGGGGCCTGCAGAGCCTGCCGGGGCCCTGCCAACCAGCTCGTTCTTTCTGGGTTTCTTTCCAGTGCAAAGAGCTATCCTTCCCGAGCGTGGGAGTGGCAGAGGAAGCCAATGTGACAGAGCAGGCCCCAGGCTGGCCACTGTGCTGACACAGACCCCTCCGAGCCGGTTCCCCCACACTGCCTGTGTGTGAGCAGGACTGGCTTCAGCCCAGCGCTTCCCCCAGATGGAAACTCTCTTCCTTCACTGAACCTTGCTGGTAGGTGGGATGGAAATGAGATATTTTCTTTTTAGAATTAATTTTCAAGGCCTCATAGGCTGAGTAAAACAAAGTACAATCTTCTCTAAAGGATGATTCCTTGGCAGGTTACAGGCTATTTCAGATGGGAATTCGAGGCAGCAAAGTCACCCTTTCTAAAAGGCCAAACAGATGGGAGCAGACACACTCACAAAAGTAGCAGAAATGTGCTGCATGCATGCGTGCGTGCGTGCATGTGTGTGTGTGTGTGTGTAGGAGGTGTTCCAGATGAGAATGTCACAATAGGAGAATTCATGCTACAAAATCTTAATTCTCCAAGAAAGTAAGGCAAAAGCAACAACAACAAAACCTTAAAAGCTGTTGGTGCCATTCAAGGAGTTCAAGAAACTTGACTTCGCAGTGACGGTGAGTTTACTTTTTAGAGGCCTCTCAACTACAAAGTGCTTCTCCCACAGCCAGGAATCCTCTCCCTCCAACGTGTGTGCATGCACCCATAAGCCCTGGCCCTCCCTAGGCAGGCACATAACCCAGAGACTTCCTAAACAGTCCCAGACCTCAGGCAGTAAGTGAGGAGGAGGAAGTGGAGGAGGAGGAGGAGGAGGTCTGCAACACTGAAGCAGGCCGCACCTGGCACACACACCCTCCAGGTCACTGTGGAGAGGCTGGGGGCTAAGGCCAGACTCCATAGAGCAGTGCACGTCTGGCCAGGTGACCTCACACAGAAAGGAGGCCCAGGGACGCCCTCTCCACTCACCCCAAATCCCTACAGACATTGGCAGGCACAGGCTGTCCTCAGTTGGCACAAAGGGGTTGCTTCCTATGCCTCCCAAACTCACCCGAGCAAGCAGTGGGAAGGGAGGCGCCTGCAAGCCGGAGGAGGCTTTTCTCAACTGATCATCTTGGGAAAAGCCAGATACAAATTTCATGGCTGGAATGCAAGGGTTGTGAAATGCCGAAGAAGCCCCAAAGAGGGCCAAGGACTCTCCTTCCCGGAAGGCAGTGGGAGGAGGGCTGGCAGGCGAGTGGGAGAGGAGCAGGTTACCCAGAGGGCCCGCCTTTCTGGGAAGCAGGAAATAAGTCCCAAGAAACAAAGAAATCCCCTAGCCCTGAGCTAGTGGAGGGGCCAGAGATAGAACAGGAAGAAAACGAGGCCTTGTGTCAAAAACTGATTCTAGAACAAATGAACTGATTACAACCCAGCTCATTATTTCTGGGGTTTGGAATCACCAAGGCTCAAGGTCTGTCCTCCCCGGAGTTAAATAAGCAGCCAACTTCAGCCGTGTCCTCAGTGTCATGTGACAGGTCTCTATTCACGCTACAATTAGTTAGGTGAGTGCCACCTGAGGGTCATTACTCTCTGAGACAGTCTTGTGGGCCTTCAAGAGGTCCCTGAGAATGGGGTAGGGGAGACCACATCTGTTTCAATAGCTGATAGACTGCCCCAAGCTGCTCCACCTCTCAGCTCAGGTGAGTTACTTAGGAGCCCCTATGTGCCTCAGTTTCTTCATCAGTACAAGGGACATAGATACAAGATCATTTACTTCATAGAGCACTATGAGAATCAAGTTAATATTGGGGGGGGGGGGCGGCGCTGTGGGTTAAAGCCCTGGCCTGAAGTGCCGGCATCCCATATGGGCGCCGGTTCTAGTCTCGGCTGCTTCACTTCTGATCCAGCTCTCTGCTATGACCTGGGAAAGCAGTAGAAGATGGCCCAAGTCTTTGGGCCCCTGCACCCCCATGGGAGACCCAGAGGAAGCTCCTGGTTCCAGATTGGCACAGCTCCGGCCGTTGCAGCCATCTGGGGAGTGAACCAGCAGATGGAGGACCTCTCCCTCTGTCTCTACCTCTCTCTGTAACTCTGTCTTTCAAATAAATAAAATAAATCTTTCAAAAAAAAAAAAAAAGTTAATACGGGAAGAAAGCACTCGGAACAGCACCCGGTACAGACTAAGCACCATGCAAACGTCAGCTACTACCAAGGCGGACAGGAGCAGGCTGGCGCCCAGCTGGATCAGCTGTTTGGAACCTCTGATCTATGTGGCCTCTCAGACCATACAGAGACCCACGAAGACTCATGCATCAGAGCACCCCAACCCAGAAAACCTGACTAAAGGGAAATCAGACAGCAGACAAAATAAGGCCTGCGCTGGCTGCTCCCCCACAGGGAGCACAGCAAATGCTGGTGCCAGCACATTTTGGGTCGGCGCTCTCAGTCACAATCCATGTGGTATATCTGAAACGGGGTCAGGTCCCGGAGTGGGCAGCACAGATATTACAATTGCGCCTGCAAATCTGAACTGGGCCCATCATCATCGATCCTGTGGTAACAGGGAGCTACATGCTGAGACTTAAGGGTGAGCTGGAGAATGTTCTTGGGAAAGGAAGAGGAAGAACCATTTTTCAACCAATTGCTAACAAAGCAGTAACCACACTGAGAACCTCAGAGGAGATGTTCCGACTCCCTTCTGACTGTAGATCCCTGCACTCCAGAGAGCTGCCTGGGTCCTGGAGCTGCAGGGAGGGGTGATGACCCCCGAGGGCTAGCCCCTTTGATCTCTTCCCACTCACTTCTCTGTATCTCAGTCAACAGACAAAGGGCAGAGGCCACAGCCTCACTTCATTGGGTTCAGAACTGATGCCATACTGCCCAGTCAGTGTGGATGTGGAACCCAGAGCCTTGTGCCTCCTTGTGATGTCTAGGGGTGCAGCAGCTGGGAGCATGACCAAGACAGGGAGTAAGATCTCAGGCCTGTTTCACGCCTATAAGAGGGGCAAGTGGGGTGTACCTCTGGAGGAGCCCCTCCCTCTGCCCAGAAGCTCTGTCCTTGCAGAGGGAGGCATGTCACAGGAGGAGATTGCCTCCGAGTTGTAGAAATCTGCTCGAGACTTGAAATCCACAATACCTCTGGCCTCCCACCAGTGACAATGAGGTCCAGGGTGAGAAGCCAAGCTCAGGGCATGGGAAGGAGTGTGGCCCCGGGATGGTGTCCAGACTCACAGGTGGAGAGCTTCCAGGTGCCCCCTGACCCAGCTTGGCCATCTGCTGCTGCCAAGGGAAGATGCTGGTGCCTCAAGCCAGCTAGTTCAGGGCAGCTGGCTGGAGTTGAAAGATGCTCTGGAGTGCCAGGGGAGCTTCTCCAGAATCTTTGCTCTAGCAAGAGTGCAACTCTGCAAACTCTGGACAGCAGGTTCACCTGGCGAGCCAGCTCGGGCAGCCCCACTCCCAGAGGAGCTCCCTCCTCCACAATCTGCTCCTGGGATGCAGACGAAACTTTCATCATCAGGTCTCCCAGTTCTCCATTCTCTTCAGCTTCTCTCCCTGCTTGTTAAAATTCCAGGGCCCCTTCAAGGTCCACCTCACGTCATTCACTCTCCTCTAAGACGCCCTCCCACTATACCAGATCCTGCTGACCGACCTGTCTTTTCTGTAATGTACCGTACCACTACCACTTTGGGGGATCATAGCTTGGCAACTGGAGCTAGAACCCAAAGCAGCAGCCACTTGTAGCAAACGGCATCTACAGTCAGACTCAAATCATTGCAAGTTCATTATTTCACTCATGCTCCCCCAAAGGGAGAACCTGGGCACCTCAGACGGCCTCCTTGGGCCCAGGCTTGCTACATGGCAAGTTTATAATAAAGACTTCTTAGAAGAAGCACGGATCACCCTGGTCTTGCAGGATCAGGCGGCCTGCCTTTGAGCCCAAGGCCTAGCAATTTCCTCCCTGGCAGGCGAGGTTCCTGCCTGGGTTGCCAGCTCCCAGGCATCCACTGCCAGCAGTTATTCACTAGAGCTGCCCAGGGACTAAGGGCAGAGGGGGGTGCCCAGCTCCAGCCCTGCCCCCACTTGCCCCCAGTCAGAGGAAGAGAGGTTGACGGGAAGCGGATCTGACCTCTGGGATAGCCATAGTCTCTCCTCAGGGCTGGAGGGGCCCTTGGACAGGCAGCAGAAGCCTGCAAAGGACTTCCCTTCCCTTCTCTGGCCCTAGAGAAGGCAGGCAGGAAGAAGGGCCCCAGCAGCAGGCGTCCAGTGTGGGGCTGGCCAGACAGGGAGGCCCCTGGGGTTGCAGCTATCAGCCGGAGACCAGGCTCCAGGAAGGAAGGAAGGGCAACTCTGGCCGAGGCTGAGATAAGGAGGGAACCGTGCTCAGCACAATGGGCTCCCACAAGGCCAGGAGGCCCCAAGTCAGATTTTGCCCCAACCTGGCCCCCCGCCTGTTCACGCAGTCCATGTAAATATTTACCGCTATTTATATTTCTGGTCTGCTGTGCCCCTCTGAAGTCCCTTCCTACAACCCACAGGTCTGTGTGCTCCAGACCATGGCTGCACTTAGGTCCGGAGACCGTGGGCCCATCCAGCAAGGGCCATGGGCATTGTTCTCCCCCTTGCAATCCGCAGGGAATACCCCCTCAGGACAACACTGTCCCCTCATCCCCGCCCCGGGACACTGGGGAACTTACGGGGCCCGGTCGTGGGTGAGGCCATTCTGCCGCTGAGGGTTGATGGGTGGAAGGACGGGCTTGCTGTTGATCTCAAGTCCTCTTCTCAGGGTCTCTCGGATCTGTTCTGTGTCTGCAACAACACCACTACATTGCCTGATGGCTCTCTGGGCTTTCAGCACCCCCACCTCGCCCCAGACCCCGCTCAGCAGACATGCTGGGGAAAGCTGCCAGTGAAGCCGGTCCTGAGCCTGCTCAGGGCAGCCAGACGTGAGGGCGGAGCAAGTGCAGACCATCAAGGGTGGACGAGGCAGTGCTCTCCAGGAGCTCAGAGGCTGCGGACTGCCATTCTCGTGGAAGACAAGTGGCGCCGGTGCCGCAGCTCACTAGGCTAATCCTCCACTTGCGGCGCCAGCACCCCGGGTTCTAGTCCCAGTTGGGGGGCCGGATTCTGTCCCAGTTGCTCCTCTTCCAGCCCAGCTCTCTGCTCTGCAGCACACTGCTGTGGCCCGGGAAGGCAGTGGAGGATGGCCCAAGTGCTTGAGCCTTACACCCACATCGGAGACCAGGAGGAGGTGCCTGGCTCCCAGTTGGGTTCTTGGGGGTCCCCTAAGGTTTGGCCCTGCTGCCCTTTCCTCTAGGGCCGGGGTCATGGAATGCTGAGGTCATATCCCTTCCTTGGTCTGTCCCAGGCAACTGGGCCTCCCATGAGCTAGCTAGGGTGAGAAAGGAGTCCCTTGGTGGGATTATTTCTTGTAAGGTGTTTTGTGGTCTTTGGGGCAAAGTGTACTAATCTTTTCCCCTGCATCCAGATTTTGATCTAAGACTTACTCTGCAAACTGTAAACACATACAACACAGCAAACTGACATCAGGTGCTCAAAGGGCCGTGCTCAGAGTGGGGAGGGGATGGTTACAAGCTTCTTTTTGGCTACAGTGGCATGGGTTACCTTTATAATTTTTAAAACCTAGTCAAGAACAATTAAATTCTGAGATAATATTATAGATCCCTCCTTAAGTTTCCTCTTTTGTCAAAAGCAACAGAATGATTCTGGTAACTGGGTGCTCTCTTTCTGAATCTCCCACAGATGTGGTACACAGGAAGGAAGGAAAGGGATTAAACATGGTCAAATATTTGCACTAGGGGTTTAAGTTGTCCTTTTCAGAAAGAGAAAACCTTTCACAAGTGTTAGCACATAGGCAGGTGCTATTCAAGGCTGAAGGGATCTTTTTCTTCAAAAAAATCAGAAAAAAAAAAAAAAAAAAAACAGAGAAAGGAAGTAGACCAAGAAGCCAGACACACACGTACACAAAATAGCTGCTTTGCCTTTGGAGTTGGCTTGGGATATTGGGATACCCTCTGCTAAAAGCCACAACTGTTTCTGCAGCTGAGACCAGCACAGGGAGCTTCCAACAGGACACTCATCTTCCTTCCCAAAATCTCATGCAAACTCAAGAGGTACAGGGTGCCCCACCCACAGCCCCTTACTCTGTAACTACAGGACAGTGCGACGGGGGGTCATTTGCAAGTGGGCCTCACATGATTGATCGCCAGGGCTGGCATGGTCTTCAGGCCAGAACTGGGCCCTGTGTCAATTCTGTGGGTGGCCGTGCTTGTTCTCTTGTACTTGGGTGGACTATGGGCTTTTCCTGTAACTGTTCTAATGCTTCCACTCACATCCGTGACCCTAGATCGCAAGACCTGAAGGTAAAACACAATGGTCCCTGCTGGTGGTGTATTTGCAACACACGCAGGAAAGAGCTATAAATGGGCCAATAAAGCTCCCTTAATTCCACCCTGCTGGAAGACTTTACTTGCTGCTTAACTCAGGCCAGTAAAGAAACTATTGAACAGGCTGTTTTCGTTAAAGACTCATCCTGGAGAGGGAAAAGGGGAGGAGCGGGGCCGGGCCATGGCCCCACCTTTGCCAGAGAGCCTCCGGGGCTGTGTGCCGATGCAGATGCTCCGGCTGTCCTCATCATCCTCGGGGGGCCGGCTCAGGTCATCCCAGGCACACTTGGCGCTGACACCACTCAGGTTAGAGCCGTCTGTCTCGATGCCTTTGTCAACTCGCTCCTGCTTGAAAAGATCCAAAGAGCCAGAGTTCCTTCAGAGAACTGGGGCCCCACAGTCACCACTGCCCTCCCCACTCCCATGCTTAGAGCACGTGTCAAGCCCTCATAGGTGCCAAGGAGGACGCAACAGATGCAGCGCAAGGCTTCTGCTGCTGCGCTGCCTGGTTCCCGCATGCGACTGTCTCTGCCGGCCCCTGCACTGCTGCAGGGGAACCAGGAGGAATGGAAAAGCCAAGGGGAGCTGCTTTTCCACCATCAGCCTTCCAGGACCATGGTTTTCCCTCCTCTTTCAGAGCCCAGACCCTACCCACTCCATGCTGGCCTGTGAAGCTGATGTGGCAAAGACAGGACCCACTTCCTTGAAGAAGGTTCTCTTCCTCCTCTCCTCCCTGATCCTTCAAGAACTCTTTCCTGCTACAGCAGTCAGAGGGGAAGCCAGCTACAGGTGAGGGAGGCCATGTCTGCAGTTCCTCTTCCAACAGCTAGAGGGTGCAGCTGTACAGAGATGTGCCCAATAGCAGAAGCCCTGGTGTCTCCTGGCTGCCACCCCTAACTTGTTTTGCAAAAGACACTAGATAGAGTTCCTTTTCCATCTCTTAGATCGAACAAGGGCCTGGAGGACAGTGACCAACTATAGACAGTGTCCCTACTCCACCCCCAACCCCCTGCCAGGAGGCTCTGCCTCTGTGCAGGTCTTGGCACTGTTGAGTCCAAACACTCTCCAAATGGCCTCGAGGAAGAGCCGTACTCAAAACATCCTTGGATTTTCTGGCAAAATACAGTGCTGAGATGCTGGGTTTTAGATTAAAGGTCATCTAGAAGGCTCCAGCAACCCTGCCCATCCACAGCCATCTGGGCCAAATAAAGCTCCTGTGACTGAGCATGCCAGCAAGGCTGTGTGCTCCCACTCCCCTCATCAGCACCCCTTGCCCTGCTATGGCATCATGGGCACCAAACTGGCCAGTCAGGGAGCTATCTGGGGGAAACTGCTCTCATTTGTTGGGACTTATCACAAGTGTCCCTGCCTAGGACACCTCCTTCCCATCAAGCACTCCCTCCTCTTTCCCAGTGTCACCATCAGCCTGGACAACGCTGGGGCTCTGGTAGGGAGAGGTTAGCAGCAGGGAATGGCTCTGGGTCCTCCAGGTAGCAGCAGGTGAGCCCTTCTTGCTGAGGGGAGAGCCTGGGCTTCTCCCTCTCCACTGGCTGCCCTGAAGCCCTTTACCCAGCTAAGAGCTAAGACTAGATACCTCCTGGCTAAACTGGTCCAGTGTACCTACTTCATAAATGAAAAGAAAGAGTTAAGAGCCAGAGAAATAAGGAGACTGGGTCAGGCACACAGCTTGTTAGTGGCAGAGCTTGGATTGAAGGACAGGAGCAGTTCTAAACTGGACTGACAGCAAAAGCAGGCCTGAGGGCAGCATAAGGGAACGCAGCGGAGTTCACACCTGGTCCACAGAGACTAGGAAAGCAAGCTGCATCCTTCTCCCATGGCTCCCTACTTGCTTTGACAGACACTTGGGTGCTCTGGGTCCTGCGGGCTGGTCTCGAGAGCCTGCAGACCACAGAGAACTATTCTTAGCATGCAGACAAAGGACAAGTTGCTTGCCTTACTATTTCAAAGGACCAGGCTGCAGACAAAGGGCTCAGCCTTCATGGTTCCTGGTTCTTGCATAAGCAGAAGCTACAAGGAAACCAAACTTAAAGCAGAGATAACAGAGGATGTTGGCAACAACTTGAAAGTTTCAGTGTTAAAGGCACTAGGAAGACAGAGGAGCATCATCTGTGAATGAAGATTCATGCCCAAGCCCTCATAGGCGTGCAGTAGAGAACCCGGGGACTGCAGGCAGCGTGTCCATCTGCCACCTCTGCCCTGCTCCAGAAGGCAGCTGCCTGTGGCCTGCCAGAGCTTTAGAGAAGGAAAGGTTCAGAGACAGCACTGCCCTGCAACTGGTGGAGGGGGAGCAGGAGCCACGCCCATGGCAGGCACCTGGTAGGATGCCTGCTGCTCCTGCTCCCTGAGCAGGCCATAGCAAAAGCAGGCATGCTCCTGGGTCTTTCAAAATCCATCCACATGCTGATGAGTGCTTCTTCTAGGACACTAAAGACGGTGAGGCTGTCCAGGTGGGCCACTGTGAGGGGCAGCTGCAGGCCTGAGTGTCTGAAGACTCCTTTACACATGAAGGATGCTGACCTAGCCAGCAGGAAGGGCAGCTCAGTATCTGACTGCTCAGGCTGGAGCATGTGTCTCAAAGGAGGAGCAGGGCCTCAGGCCCACCAGCGCTGCAGCTGGTCAGGGAGTGGTGTCACTTGCACCACTGTCTGGCAAGGGGCGGAGGTGGGGGTGAGAAAGCTCCCTGAAAGTCTGTGTGTGTGTGTGTGTGTGTGTGTGTGTGTGTGTAAGACTTACTTATTTGGAAAGCAGAGTGACATACGTAGAGAGAGGGTGAGATGAGGAGGGTGAGACAGAGAGGGAAGAGAGAGAGAGAATAAGATCTTCTACCCACTGGTTCATTTCCTAACCAGCTGCAATGACCAGGGATGGTTTAGACCAGAGCCAGGAGCCTGGAACTCCATCTAGGTCTCCCACGTAAGTTGAAAGAGTCCAAACACTTAGGCCATCTTCTGCTATTTTCCCATGCTCATTAGCAGAGAGCTGGATCCAAAATGGAGCAACCAGGACTCAAATTGGTGGCCATATGGGATGCTGGTATTGCAAGCAGAAGCTTAACCTGCTGTGCCACAATGTGAGCCTTGTCTGTGTTCTTTACGAAGGGAAAATTATGGGGCCGGTGTTGTGGTTAAGCCTCTGCCTGCAGTGCTGTCACCCCGTGTAGGTGCTCGTTGGGGGTCCTGCCTGCTCCACTTCCAATCTAGTTCCCTACTAATGTGCCTGGAAAGCAACGAAAGATGGCCCAAGTGCTTGGACCCCTGTATCCACGTAGGAGACCCAGAAGAAGCTCCTGGCTTCTGGCTTTGGCCTGACCCATCCCTGGCTACTGTGGCCATTTAGGGAGTGAACCAGTGGATGGAAGACCTCTCTGTCTCTCCCTCTCTCTCTCTAACTCTGCCTTCCAAATATATAATGAAATAAATCTTAAAAAAAAAAAAAGAAGGGGGAAGTAAAGGAATGAATATTTGGCAAGAAAGCCATATCTACTTATTTTCTTTCATTGCTAGAGATCTAATTTTTAAAGTTGACACATAATTTGCATACAATAAAATTCACCCTTTTAAAATGCAAAATGCATGTGTCTGAGATAGACTTGCCTGGGCTGAAATCTACGCTCCCCTTTGTGTACTTGCGGAATTCAGGGGACAAGTCGCAAATCATGCCATATTTCTACTCAATCACATATCAGGCTCCTCTCTTTTCCCAGGATGAAAGTCAGTGTTATCTGGAAGAGGACTAGGCACCATGTGCTAGAAGGTTTCCCTCACTCAAGACATACTTGCAGGTGTGGATCGATCTCAAATATGGTTTCTCCCCTCCGCATGTCAGTTATCAGCCAGGGGCCGCCAGCGCTGTGGACAAGGAAAGGGGATACGATGGTAACTAAGGGTCTGGGGCTGACAGGCTGGGGTGAAAGCCTGCCCTGTTTGCTGCCCCAGTCCCCGAACACAGGGGAACAGTCCAGGTTACAGACTGTCAGGAAGCCCTGATGGGAAAACCAGTGCTTGAAACAGCAATGCAAAGGGAGCCCCACATGTGGGGTGAAACAGGGACCCCCTCCCGTCGCCAGGCCCCACCCCCCCCAAGGGGCACGTACTCACACAGGCACAGTCCGCAGCAGCTCCAGGATGCCCTGCCCGTTCCACTGCTGGGCTGAGTGCAGCTCTTCGGTGCAGACACCGACAATCTAGGGCGGGGGACAAGATGCCACTGTGCATTAATGATCATCCCTCCCTGAAGCGCAGCCACCAGGCTCTCCTGGGGGACCTCAAGGGGAGAGACCACAGGCAGGATCTGTGCTGGGAGCTGCTGTGTCTCAAATTAGCTGGCACCCAACCTTAGAGGGGGCTGCCGCCTGGCTAGGAGATGGCTGGGTCCACAGACAGCACTGAGGCCTGACGCCTGCCTGCCCTTGCGGTGAAGGGTGAGGTTTCTGGCAGACACAAGGTTTAACGCTAGGCTGAGAGGCGGTTCAGGGAGATGTTCCCACTGTCTGGCATTATAGGGACTGCACACGGTCTGAGACCCTTCAGGCTCGGGACCACGGCCCAGATGCTCCGGCAGTTCTGCAGAGAAGCTCTTCCCTCATCAGGCGCTAAGTCTGTAAACCTCCAGGGAACACCTGAACCTCTGTAGAGACATCCTTATGACCCAAAGCCAGCACTTGCTGCAGCGTGTGTGTGTGTGTGTGTGTGGTGTGTGTGGGTATGTGTGGTGTGTGTGGGTATGTGTGGTGTGTGTGTGTATGCGTGTGGTGTGCATGTGGTGTGTGTGTGTATGCGTGTGGTGTGCATGTGTGGTGTGTGTGTATGCGTGTGGTGTGCATGTGTGGTGTGTGTGTGGTGTTTGTGTGTGTAGGTGTGTGTGTAGGTATGAGTGTGTGGTGTATGTGGGATGTGGTATGTGTATTGTGTGTGGAGTGTGTGTGGTATGTGTGTATGGTGTGTGTGGTATGTGTGTGTGGTGTGGTATGTGCATGAGGTGTGTATGTCGTGTGGTATGTGCATGAGGTGTGTGGTATGTGTGTGTATGTGTGTGTGTGTGGTATGTGTGTGTGGTGTATATGTGTGGCATGGTATGTGTGTGGTGTGGTATGTGTGTGAGGTGTGTCTGTGTATGGGATGTGTGTAGTGTGGTATGTGTATGAGGTATGTGGTGTGTGTATGGGGTGTGTATGTGTGGTGTAGTGTGTGTGTGTGGTATGTGTGTGGTGTGTATGTGTGGTGTGGTATGTGGTGTGGTGTGTGTGTGTGTGTATGGTATGGTATGTGTGTGGTATGTGTGTGTATGGTGTGTGTGTGTGTGGTGTGGTTCACTAAGCTTGGGAGTTCACAAGGGGAATAGGTTAGAAGGGTTGGG